CAGTAAATAATTCAACAAGAATACAGCCCAAACTCCACATATCAATAGCTGGTGTATAAGGAACACCTAAGATTATTTCAGGTGCTCGATAAAATCGTGATTGTATGTATGTATAAACTAAATATAGATAAAAGAATTATTTCAAATAAATATATATATAAATATATAAACTTCTTTGTGCTTGAAAACATCCAGAACCAAAATCAATAACTTTAATACTACTACTTCCTTTTTGTCTTAATAATATATTTTCCTATAAATAAACATTTTTTTTTTAAATAAATTTAAATATTAAGAAAAAAAATAATTTTTTTAATTCTTTACTGGTTTAAGATCACAATGAATTATTTTTTCTCTAAACATAACACGAAGACATTGTAAAAGCGAATTAGCAAAACGTCGGACTAAATGTACACTAAAACCTTGATAATTATTTTTTTTAATTAATTCATATAAATTAATTCTAAATATAAAATTATTTAAAAAAAATATTTTTTTAATAAATAAATAAAAAAAATTCTTACCCAAGTAATTCAAATGTAATACAAAGATGAGATCGAAAATAAAAGTGTTCTTTTATATGAACAACATTTAGTGAATTATCCGAATCTAATGTTTTTAAATGTGTTAATATATTAACTTCAACAAGACCTTGTTGTTGAAAACGTTTTTTATTTCGAATTATTTTTAAAGCAACAGCTTCCTTTTTTTTATGATCATAACAACGAAGTACAATACCAAAGGAACCTTTTCCCAATGTTTCTAATATTTCAAATCGATAATAAATATGATCTTTACTCATTTTAATATAAGAACCATTATCATCATCATAATCTTTAACACTAGTTGCTGAAATTTTTTCAGCTTCTAAACCAAGAAAATAAATTTCATTATAATCAAATATTTCAGTTTTTTCAAAATCAGTTAATTTATCACCATAATACGATAAGGCTTCTACATTCAAAAAAAAAGTTATTTATTTATTTATTTATTTATTTTCTAATAAAAATAAAATCTACCTGATGGTTTAATTGGAAAAGTAACCGTTTTATTAATATAATCATTTGAATTATTAGCAAAAAAAGTTCTTGATCTTGAAATTTGATGTGAATTTGAAATAATTGAAGAAGCACTTGTATTATGATTTAATAAATAATGATTATTTGTTGTATCTGTATCTTTTGAAGATGATTTTAAACTTCCTTCACGAGTTTTTTCTCGACGTAAACTTCTTGCTGTAAGAGCAGCTGTACCATGATGATAATTACTTGTATTATTATGAGAATGAGAATTATTAACTATGGTTTGATGTAAACGAGCTGATGGAACTCCTGATACAATCGAATCATTTAAATATGGTAATGATGATTCGTTATTTAATAAATTAAACGATTTTCCACTACGATTTACATTTGTTATTTGTTGTTTATCAGATACTCGACGATATGAACCATTTAATACAGTTTGAACAGAGAATTTCTATTTTAACTTTTTTATTTAAATAAATATAGAAAAAACAAAACTCTAACCTGAACTTTAGCCAAAGGTTTTGATGTTATACTTAATCCAATATCACCAAATGAATTGTCCATATCACGCAAATCAACACCACTTGTATTTGGACCTGATCCATAAGCACTACCTCCATTATTCGACTGAAAATACAAATTGAAAATGTTTAAAAACACATGATTAAAATAGCTGAGAAAAAAAGACGAAGACCTTAGCTGTCGACGGTCCTTTACTCTCTCGCATTTTTGTGAGCAACATTATTCTTGTTCCATCAAATGTTTGGTTACTGTCAACGTCTATTAATGATTCGATCGCACATATAAACAAAGACAACATTAACAAGAAATTTTTTTCTTCTTCGATACCATTTAATGGGATTACGTTTATTTATTATAAAACTAACAAAAAAACGATCGAAAAAATGAAAAAAAAAATCAATAAAATTTTTCAATATTGTTTTACTTGATTCACTATCATATGTAGATGTAGGATAGTCAATATTCATCTATTGAATTCATTCATATCGAATAGAAATTTGGCACACGAGTAACAACTAAATTCATCTTTTCCTAAATTAGTTTTATTTTATTTTTTTAACTATTCAACGATATGACTAAACTAATTTACTTTTCCCTTTTTTATTTAAAAAAACTTTCAAATTAATCAAATAAAAATAACAAGAAAACAAAACTTGTTCCTTTCTCCATTTCAAGGTCAGTCATCATTTTACAATATTGCATTGTTTAGCTCATTGTCAAAAGTTTTTTTTTCTTTTTTCTTTTTGTTTTTTATATTGACAAGAATATTTATTTCTTCTATTATTATGGCACAAAAAACAATTTCAGAAGTTATTTATTTTAAATAGACGTTCTTTTCTTTTCTTTTCTTTTCTTTTCTTTTCTTTTCTTAATATTCTATTCAATAAAAACGATATTATTATTATCAGTTCGTATAGATTATTATTTTCTTCATCATGATCAATTAAACTAAATCTTATCTTTTATTAATTGAAACTATCGATTCATATAAGAGATTCTTTTGTTTATTATCAGTAACATTATTTCAAATAAACTCAAATTTAATCATTAGAAATAGAAATTAACCATTTACTCATTTTTCAATATCATTCATACTACAGTTTATCATAATGCTATTTAATACGAACTAAACCAGTATCTACCATTCTCTATTACATAGTTTAGATCTATTATATATATATACATAAATATAATCAAAGATTTTTCCAATAGATATATTTCTATCAGTTTGAAAATTGTCCTAAGAACTTTTATTGTCTGAAATCTTGTTAGTTAATTTGTCAATAGAATATAACAATAGACTAATTATAATGAACATTATCAAACTTATATGAAAAATCTTGTCTAAGAACATAATTTCTCTTTATTATATATATTAAAAATAGATCTAGACTATATTAAAGAAATAATTGATTGAATATATATCATAGAAAACAATCAGATCTATGTCAAATGATAAGGAATTATAAATGTTTAGTTAGTCGAGATATTGAATATAATATTATTAAAAAGTAAGATTGTTGGTATAAGATATTCTATTCTTATTATAAATATATTAAATATAAAAAGAATCGATAGTATATGTATATATATTTGAAAATAAAATGATATAGATGATTTTGTTTGAAATTTTTAAAATTTGAATCATATTATTAAGGATTCATTCGAATTAATATCTGAAATAATTCCAAAAGAGTTTGTTAATCTTCAACATTGATTATGTTATCGATTTGACATTTATTTAAATAAATATTATAATCAAACTAATATTCATTGACAAGATTAATTTGAACAAATTTATTTATTGCTCGTTACTAGTCATTCATTAACTATATTAAGATTAATAGAACACTTTTTTTTCACTTTTTTTTGTCTTCTGGTGATATTTTCCCTGTTTCATTGATTCGATCATTCCTCAATGATCTACTCTAAAAAAAACCTTTCACGAAAGAGGTTCATTTTACAAATGACTAACTTGATTTTAATTAAAGAAGAATTGAATTAATAAATAAATCAATATAACCAATAACAATAGATACATTGGATAAATAACAAACAAATATCTCATATATAGATAAGTTGAAAATAGTCAAAACAAAAAAATAAACTTAAATATTAATGATCGACCAAATATTTCAAATTTGTCCATGTAGATTAATCTTCAATTGTTTCAAAGTTATATTCATATTTAACTGATTTATTATTGTAAAATACTCAAAAGAAAAAACGAACCTTGGAAATTGCTTTGAAATGTTCAATAAAAAAAGTCATAGTCGTGATAAGTGTATAGATGCGTAGATATGTTTGACTTGAGTGATGATTTTCGTGGTCAGATGAGTAGATGCCTAATTCGAGTTCGAATATAAATGGAAAATTCAAAAAAAAATCGCACTCATGTTACAATAGCAAAAGAAATAATTTTATATAAATTATAATTTATAAATTCGAAGGCACCCATGTTCAAATAGCAAAAAGCAAAAGAAATAAATTTATATAAATTATACTTTATAAATTCGAAGGCACTCATGTTAAAATACCAAAAAAGCAAAAAAAATACATTTATGTAAATTGTAATTTATAAATTTGAAGGCACTCATGTTAAAATACCAAAAAAGCAAAAAAAACTACATTTATGTAAATTATAATTTATAAAGGACGGGGGCATATAAGGGTCATTTTTGGGCCCTCGTCAATTTTGGTTGATTCGTAGTTTACTAGATGCAGAATTTCACGAGAAATGGTTTGGTATCAAAATAAAGCTATTTCAGAAGAGTCTAGATGGACTTTTGCTGAAAATACTAACATATATTTTGTACCATAAATCGATCATTCATACATGGACATNCACAAACAATCCACATCTCAAATCAATTCTTTCTTGTTAGCATTCAATCGTTAGTAGAATATATAATCTTTTTTTGTTTTCCAAAATTGGTTATAACGCTTTGAAATATTATTTTTTAATAAAGAATAATATTTGTCATTGAATTAAAAATAAATTATTGTTTGCATGTATTATTCTATAATTGACTTTTATTTTTAAAAAAAATTATTTTTTTATTAGATATGTTTCTATTTAATTGTTTTAGTTAGTGAAACATCTTATATTAACGTTCAAGAAATGTTTATTTTCTTTTCAATAGAATTTATTCTTAATAAAAATAGAAAAGTTGACTATTTTATATTTTCATTGGATAATTTATTGTTATTAAATTGAGAAGAATTGACGATAGTTGAGCTGGACATAAACTTATTATAGAAGAGAGATGAAATCTTATTAGACAAAGAAATGATTTTTTTTTCTTTTTTCTTTCCTTTTCCTTTTTTTGCTTCGTTCGAAGGATACAGCAATTCATTTAGTTGTTTTCTTTTTTCTTTTTCTTTTCTCTATCTTTTTTTTAGTTATTCTAGATGGTATAGAGTTAGTTGTTCTAGTCAGTGGTTGGTGCAATGGAAACTCAACGTTTGTCAAGCAATGTTCTTCCTCATGAAAAAAGCATTTTAAAATCAATATTTTATCCACAATTTGAGTCATCATTAATAGAAAAAAAATATCAATTAAATTATTTAACAAATATTTATCCATCAAATCATCGTTTATTAGTGATTATATTAATAAGTCATTCTTTACTTAATATTTTTGAAATATTTTTTTTAAAATTTGAAAGAAATGCTTCAAAAATAATATGTTTATCATTATTATGTTCAATAATATGTTTAAATATTTTTTCATTATTAATAATAAATAGTATACGAAATCGTATAATATCAAATATAATATCATTAATATGTCTATGTCCATTGATAATATTAGCTTGTTTAAATCCAATGGAATGTCATATTTATTTTTTAATTATATTAATATATACATTATCAAATTTAAATTTTTTTTTATCAATATTACTATCAATTCTAATAACAGTATTAACATTAAAATTAAAAATGCGTTTATTATTATTATTAATAATAAATATAATTGGAATTTATTTAAATCGTTTATTAGACATAACAATGCGTTCAGCATATAATCAGTTATGTAAAAGTAAGTTTGAATTATGTTTAAAAAAAAAATTTAGTTTGAAAAACAAAAACTTCAGATGCAATTGTTCGTAATTCATTATTAAGTGAACATACATTAATATCAAAAATGATTGATTCATTAATGCCGAGAAAATATGCTAAAGAAATAATGGAAGATTTTGATGTATTTCGTGAACGTTTACAAAATCTTAATTTATCACATAAAGATGAAGATGATTTACAAAGAACTATTTTTCGTCCATTACATATTGAAAGAATGGAAAATGTTTCAATATTATTTGCTGATATTGTTGGTTTTACTCATATGTCATCAAATAAAAGTGCATCACAATTAGTTTCATTATTATCGGATTTATACGGACGATTTGATGATTTATGTGTTCAAATGTCATGTGAAAAAATAGCAACATTAGGAGATTGTTATTATTGTGTTAGTGGTTGTCCTGAACCTCGCCAAGATCATGCAAAATCTTGTCTTTTAATGGGTTTAGCTATGATCAATGCTATTGAAGAATTTGATCAAGATAATAATGAACAAGTTGATATGAGAGTTGGTGTTCATTCGGGTTCAGTTAATTGTGGCATTGTTGGTACTAGAAAATTTAAATTTGATATTTTTTCAAATGATGTTACTTTAGCTAATAAAATGGAATCAACTGGAAAACCTGGTAATTGTTTATTAGAATTTTTATTTTTTTATTCTTAAATATTTAATTTAAAAAAAAAACAATATATATATATATGTATAGGTTATGTTCATATAACAGAATCAACTTATTTATTAGTTAAATCAGATGAATTTCAATTTGAAGAAGGTTCATCATATAAATTAACAGAAAATGGTTTGTTTTTATTAAATAATTAAATAAAAAATAAATATTATATTTAGATGGAATAAAAACATATTTTATTGGTAAACGACGTTTAACTCATCGAATAACTCGAAAACCTCCACAAATGACATTAGCAACTGCTGCTGCTTTAGCTGTTGCATCAGGAGTTTCACTTTCTGTTCCATTAAATGATAATAATTATATATCAAATCAATCAACACCATCAGTAAGATATTTATTTATTTTGAAAAAAAAAAAAATTGTTTTTATGTAATAAAAAGAATGTATCAAGTCCATTATTAGAAGAAGTTGAAAAAGCTCGTCGAGCAACAGTAAGTGAAGATGAATTTGGTGAATGTTTAACAACAAATAAAAAAGTTGATGAGAATTTAAATGAACTTAAAATTGAAAATGAAGAAAAACAATTAATTATGTCATTAAATTTGTTAACATTAAAATATAAAGATGAAAAATTAGAAAAATCTTATAGAAATAATATAATTAAATATGAATTAATTATAATTGAAATTGTTTTATCAATAATAACATATTTAATATTATTTATTTATTTACCAAAACGAATATTATCATCAATAATAATATCAATATTTATATTAATTCAATTAATATTAACATTAATTATAATTCGTTATTATAATTTATTAATAAATCTATCAATATTTATTTATTTATTTTCAATGTATTATTTATTTTCACCATTTATATTAATATTAATTGGAACAATTGATGATTATAATATAACATTACCTTGTTTATTTATATTTATTTCAACTTATTTAGCATTGTCTAGATCAATATATTATTTAATTAAAATTTTTTTTGCTTTTATATCAATATCTATTTATGTAACATTTATTTTATATAAATATGATATTTCAAGTTTGTATTTTTTATTATTAAAAAACACAACGTGTCTTTTTTTTTTTGTTAAATAGGATCGTTAATAGTTAAAATAATTGTTTGTGTATTAATATCATTAATAGTATTAAATGGAATAAATCGTCAAATAGAAGTAGCACGTCGTATTGAATATCATGTTATTAATAAATCATCTGAACAAAGAAGTGAAATTGAAAAAGAACGTGAAAGAGCTGATTGGCTTTTAAGAAATATATTACCTGAACATGTTATTGAACCATTACGTCAATTAGGTGGTTCATATTCTCGTAATCATCCATGTGTTGCTGTTCTTTTTGCATCATTAATTAATTTTCATGTTATGTATGAAGAACAATATGAAGGAGGAAAATTTTATGCAAGAATTTTAAATGAATTTTATGGAGATATTGAAGAATTATTTCTTGATCCAAGATTTTCAAATATTGAAAAAATCAAAACTATTGGAGCTACATTTATGGCTGCTTCGGGATTACAAACAGATTCAAATCATCTTAATTCACTCGGTTAAAAAGAAGTTTTTTTTTTTGTTTTTAAATAAATATTTTTCTTTCTTTTTTGTTTTTTATATGTTAGAATGTGTTTGTGATCTTATTGAATTTGCATTAGCATTTCAACAAACAATGCATAGATTTAATGAAGCACTTTTAAATTTTGCATTTGAGCTTCGAATGGGTCTCAATTTTGGACCTGTTACCGCTGGTGTTATTGGCACAACGAAATTATTTTATGACATATGGGGAGATACTGTTAATGTTGCTTCAAGAATGGATTCAACTGGAATTAAAGGAGAAATTCAAGTTCCAGAACATGTTGCTTTTGCTTTAAAAGATAAATATTTATTTGAACTTCGTGGAGAAATTGATGTTAAAGGAAAAAGTCGAATGACAACTTATTTTCTCAAATCAAAGTTAAATACATAATAACACTAACTGAACCATCCTGTTTTTTTTCCTCAAATTTCTCATAGAATAGGTTTATTTATTTACTTAGAAAAATAAAGCGTAAAAATTCTTCTAGACTAATATTATAAATAAAATTCATTGAACAAATCTAATCGATAAAATATGTAATTAACTGCAAAATAAATTTTTCTATATATAGAACATTGTTTTTGTGTCCTGAAATAGACAATATAATATATGTCAGAACAAATTACTATCGAACTATGTTATAAAAATAAATAAATAATTATTTCTTTATTGTCTGATATATAATTAGTTTAAACTAGATAAACTTATTTGTTATAAAAAAAAAAGGTTCGAATAATAATATTTATTTAGTCAAATCGACTTGTTTTATTCGAATAAGATAATACAGAAAGTTCCAATTCTCGATTGATTAATTCAATCGTTTTGAATGAGATTATTCGCTTGTCTTTTATATAAAAAATGTCGATCAACACACGACTAACAAGATTTATTTCAATAGTATAAATATATTTTTTTTTTATCTTGCCAATAGTTTTTAGATTAATTTTTAAAGTCAAATAATAAGATAACTCCATCGATTATGTTCAACTAAATGACTTTTTTATATTCAGCGGATGTCATTTATTAAACAAAAAAAGAAATTTTTCTTTTTGATAAATATCTATTATTCTATTTAAATTAACCATAAACAAACAAAAACATCGTCTTTTAGTACCGTTTACATAATTATCAAATATTCAATTAGTTACACAACGTTTTCTTTTGAAAATAATATTTTATCATAAAATAAGAAAAAGCAATTCATTCAATGAATAATTTACAAGATAAATATTTGAAGATGATTGAACAAAAATCTCTTGATAAATTTACCTGAAACAACAATTAATAAAATCTCGATTATTCAAAATAAATGTCGGCCTTCCTCAAAGTATCTATCTCTCTTAGTCCTTACATCTTTATCATCTATCTTACAGATATAACTTTCTGTATCAAGCCTTTCTCTAAGCATCTCGTCACAGACGACCCTGCCACGTCAATTTTTCCTCAAATCTAAAGGAGATTTAGACAAGCGATGAAATTAGCAACAATTCGAAATTCGAAAATATATGAAAAACTGTAGTAAAAAATTTCTATTCACAGGTTAAACATCGGCAGGTCGAGGTTATTATGACCGACAAATCCTTCGAAGTCGTTCGATCATTTGATTATATAGGATTCACTTGGACAGATAAATTGTCATTATAGAGTACAGCCGACTAAAAACTTGTTTGTTCGCCTATTCGTTTTCGTTCTTTACTTAACTATATAGATTTTTGCCCGATTTTATCAAAAAATTCTAACAAGAAGTAGTTCGATAGAAATTTTGAGCAGGTCTTTGATTGATCTACCATTGTCGATTCATATAAAAAAGTGATATATATGTGCGTTTTCGACAGGAAAACCTTTCGATCATTACGTGGGAAAATATCTAGAAAAATTGCTATCAAAACAAAAGAGACCACATATAGACAATTGATTAATTTTCAACGATGTATTCATTTCGGATAGATTTTTAAAGCAAAATCTAAATAAAAATAGAAGAAACCAACTAAAAGTGGACTAACTCCTTCACTTATGTCGACATCGATAAACCATAGATTAAAAGTGAAGAATATATTCATCTCTGCTTGTCAGTAAGCACATTAATATAAAATAAGAATGTAAGTCATTACATCTAGTAGTATATTTGTATCGTTTTCTCGCTGTCCTTGCTCTTGTCATGTTTTTTCCTCATTAGTGTCTTCTTCTATATTTGTCTTGTTTTCTTTATCTTCCGTTTTTTTTTCTTTTATAACAATAAACGATTTGACTGCTAAACGTGCAACTTGAGTGATTTCCTCACTTAAATTAACTGTAAATTGTAAAATCAAATTGTAAATGGTTATGTATTGTTTCATACTTCTAACAGTAATAATATCCTTCCGTTTGTAAATACTTTCGAGCGATACAATAAATGTACATAATGAAAAAGAAGAAAGAAAGAATTTCTTTTATAAGAGATTGAAAATTTTTGTTTGAATGAATAAAAAATGTAAGATTGAAATAATTATTGTTGTTCTTGTTATTATTGATATGATGAAGTGAAAATGAATATTGAAATAAATAAAAAATATTTTAAATCAATAAATGATTATTTAATATAATCAACATTTAAATAGATTAATATATATTTAATTTATGTTTAAATCTTTTTCTTTTTCATATAATTTAAATTAAATCATTTTTATATTAAATAAATAAATAATAAATATTTTCATTAAAATAAATTAACTTTTTCGATGTGATCTTTAATTTTTATATTGTTGTTGTTTTTCAAAAGTATTATATATTGCCCTTGGTAAAAATTGACTTCCCTTTGAATGTTTGTTGATATTAAAATAAATTGTCTGTATGATAAGATAAATTATTATCAGTTGTAATATTTGTTGAAGAAACGAATATATTTTTTTTAAATTTATTCTTATATATAAACATTCATTTCGAGTTTATTTCTAAGATAACTTTCAAAATGTTTAAATGTAAGTTAAGATATATTTATTTAAATATTTAATTAAAATAAAAGAATTTTATTTTAAAGTTGTTTTGTTAATATTAATAATAAATATTGAAAAAATTCAAACAAATAGTATATTGTTTGAATGTACATATGATGACAATGATTTATGTCGTTTACAATCATTTGATGGTATGAAAGAAATGATCATTGATTCATCTAGTAATATATCATATTATGATAAACCAAATCGACCATTATCTGATGTGTCATCTATATGTAAATTATATTTTCATATTTATTTATTCATTTTTTTTTAATATAACAAAAATATTTAGTAAAAGCAACTAAAAATGGATATATATGTAAAATACCTTATAGAAAACAATCGAATTTAAATGAAATTTTTTTTTGTTATAAATATTCATCAAATTCAAGTAAATGTCAAACAACAAATGGACTCGAAGATGAATGTCAACAAGGTTTTATTTGATTGTTTTTTTTTTCATTTAAAAAAATTTTGAATTTTTTTAAGGTAAATATCAATTATTATTAATTGAAAATAATCAATATCGACAATTTATAACGCCAATTATAAATTCAACAAAATATTCAATTTGTTTAACATATTATTATTATTTAACACGAAAAGAAAATCTTATTTTATCAACTTATTATCTTAATGAAGAAGATGAAAGAATATTTATTGGTACAATTGATCATACTCAAACTGATTTTAATCGATGGAATTTTGCAGAACAATATTTCAATAGCAATTCAAAATCATTTCAAGTATTTTCAAATTTTTTTTTTCTTCTTTATAAAAAATAATAAAAGAATCTTTATTGTTTTTATTTTTCTAAATCTAAAGATAATATATGAAATATATATGAATGATATGTCAAATCCTTCTCAACCATATTATGTTGCTTTTGATCAAATAACTCTAACCGAACCTATTTATGGTTTACCTGTTTATATTTATTTATTTATATAATTATTCACTTGTATTTTTAGGAGATTATTTTCCAATAGATAAAACTGAAGATGATCTTAGATTTGTATGATATCTATTTAATAAAATCAATTTTTATTTTTAAGTTTATTCCAAAGTTAGCGAATGAGAGAATATTTCTATCAAATGATTCTAATATTACACATACAACTGATGGTTTTCTTACTACAACATCAGAGTAAGTTAAACAATATTCGATCGTTTCTTATCAAATTTTAGTTGTATCATCTTTTCTTCTTATTTAATCATCATGTTCATTCGTCTTGTTTATTTCAAATTAATAAATCTAAATGAAAACAAATAATTAGATTTTTTTTTTTATTATTTATTTATTTATTAAAGTGAACAATTGGATAAAACGACAAGTCTATTATTTAACCATTCAACTCAACAACGAGAAACTTCATCTGATACTTCAACTTGGACGACTTTTTCATCACAACCATCAACAACAGCCGCAACTAATACAAATAGTAATAATGTTGGTACTACTATTTATAATGATAATAATTATAATGATAGTACTGATAATTCTGCTACTATTAGTAGTATTAGTACTAGTACTAGTACTAGTACTAGCACAATCACCACAAGTACAATTACAAGTAAGAGTTGTTATTTGAATTGATTTAAAATAAATAAAAAGTTAAAATAATAGATGCAACAATACGTGACCCTTCAGGATGTAAATAATTGTTTGTTATTAATAATTTAAAATAACTAAATATCGTTTAGATGATTTAAAAACTGTTCTTGGTCTTTCAATTGGCTTAGGAATTCCAGCTGCATTAGGAGTTATTGCATGGTCAATTATAATTATTAATAAAATATTAAATCGAAAGAAAACAAAAGTTAGTCCTACAAAACATAAAGATAAGCATCGTTCAAAGAAATCAAAAGATATTCCTTTAAAAAAACAAGGACATCATCATCGTCATCATCATAAAAAAACAAATAAAACAATAGAAAATATTGTTTAAAAAAAGAATAAGTTTATTTTATTTCAAATAAATAAAATATTTTTTTCGTGTGTTTTTTCTTTGTCATTATTTACATTTTATTTTTAATAAATACTTTTTTTAAAATTCTTTCAATCAATTTTAACCCATTTATTTTCTCTATTATCAGTCATGAACAGTTCCGACCTTGGTAAAGGGCATCATCGGATAATTTTAGGTATTCAGAATTGTCATTATAATAATTAAATAAATAAACTAGTCACTATATAAACTTATATTATAGTTATATAGGATAGTCGTATTCAATAAGATATTGTTCGAGTTAGAATAAAAGAATTCTTTCTATTCTTATAAACAATAACAATTTCGAATATCTAAATTCATCGGATGACGTCCTTTAGCAAGACTAAAACCGTTCATGATTGATAATAAATAAAAAGACATTAAGAAATAATGAATTATTTATTTGATCAGTGAAATCATTGCTAAATGAATAAATGTTAAAATAGTTGTTGACCTATATTCATCATTTAAGAAAATAAAATCTGTTTATTATTTATTCTTTCGAATACTCAACAGACGAATTCTATATAATCATTTAATTATTCAATACATTATCAATTTATTCTCATCAAACATATCCTTTCTTCTTTTTAATTTTTAATTTATTTGATAAATATATTCTATTTCGATAGATTAATTAATCCACAATGAATATTATTTATTCTATTAGATAAATAATTGTTGAGAAATGAACAACGTATAAGAGTAAGTATATGATAAATAAAGTAAATAAATTGATTTTTTTGTCTTTCTCTTCATATTTGACGAACAGTTGAGAATGATTTATTTTTAAAAATTTCAAATCGTAACGATATCTTCATTGAAAAAACTCTTCTCTAGATGTTTTCTTCGAAATATAGGCATTTTCATCCATTCAACAAAGAATTTTACTATAAAATGTTCGACGAGATTTAATTAGGTGGTTTACAATTGAGACTATTCTAATGACTTGTTCAATCCAATGAGTTGAATTAGGGTTAACCCTTAAATAGTCTAATTCACCGGGTACCTAAACCATCTAGCATCACTGGACTGTGACACCCTTTGGTAAAATTTTATAGAAAATTGTTATTGTTTATAAGTAGTCTTTTTCCGATTGATAAAAAAAAGTAAATTCGTAAATTTCTATAAACAGCTTTAACAAAAAATGGGACATCTGAATCGTACAATGGCATGCATATACATACTTGGCAAGAAAGCTAACTGTTAAGCTAGATAAATATAGCAAGGCACTTACCTAACTGAATACATCGGCTATACTAAGACGACTACTTTTGGATTTGTTCAGTTATTTATCATGAGTAGAATTACTTTTTACTTACGAATAACATTATTTGACGAAATATTTCTCAACAAATGAATCCATAGTTTATAGTCCCATCAAGTCTTTATATGATAAAATACTCTGATGACATTCTACTATTTCGTCAGAAGACAATTTTAAGAACATCAATCTTCAACAGTCATAAATCATTATGGCAGAATCTTACAAGAATATTATTGGAATCTGATAAAAATCTATATTGCATGTGATGAAAATATGCTAAAGAAATGAGTATACCGCATGACACTGGATCACCTTAGCCAATACGCATTGATCAACTTGAACATGTATAATTTTGCGAACATTTAATATAGACCAAAAGATCTTGACTATTCAGAAATGAACATTAATTTAAAAAAAATTTATAATCATATTTATATTCTGTGATACTTATATACTTATTGTCAGAAAGAAGAACGATTAAGTATCTAATTTTTCTTAACTGCAAAAAACAGAGATTTAGTACTGATATTTCTCTTGTTAAATTTACGAATTGAAGAGAGAAAGAAAACATCAAAGCTTTTATTCCTCTCTAAAATGATAAATCATATCGTATTTTTAGTTGTTCAGACAATAATCTGAAAATATAGTTATTTATTGTTGTTCACCGATGATACTTCGATGGTCCTTTGTTTGGTTACCTCACTGATAGATCGTCAAGATTTTATTCCTTATGATAAATAAGTGAGATAGAAATAATGCTATCAATATAAATATATGTCATCTACAGATCATTGTTTTGATATTGATGTTGCCATACGACAATCTATTCAAGAAGTTAAAAGACGTTAAAGAAAATTTGTACAAGAGTACAATATTCATATTGATCAACTAGACTCGTGTTTTGTTCTTGACTATCTTCAACATTTTGACGTAGACTCTAGTGAAAATGAACCAGCCGGTAACGAAGCTCTCATGTGTCTTTCGCCAGTACCTTTTTTCTTCTATAAAGATCTTGAAAAGGTTGTTGAATATTTAGGTCAATATCATCGAATTACACATGGAAATTTATAAAAGCTTACAATGCAGATGGTTATTATGGAACATTAATTGTAGCTAATTTTAATGGCAAGAACGAATATGATTTGATCAGTAATACATTCTTTAATGACCATAAAGAATGGTTTTCAAATGAAGTTCTTTATTCTTATATAGTGAGTATTATTATTGTTCAAGAATCATACAAAAAAAATGGTATTTATGAACAACAAAATCCGAGGAAAAGGATATCTGGTCAATGCTGTGAAAGCCGCTCGAAGATCGTTTTCGAATGACGACGACTCTTTTGAGAAAAGTGTTCTCAATGTTGCTATTATGGGTAATAATGCTGACACAACAGCAACTATCTATGGACAATTGCCCAATGCTTACTATGCTTATGAATAATTGAGTAAAAACTAGTGCAACTTTATCTATGCAAAAAAAATGTTTCTTTTATGTATAAATAAATTGGATTATCTATGAAGAAGAAATCGAGTTTAAGAGAAATAAAGTGACAGATTTAACTGAGTCATTAATTAATTCTACAATAATGATTCCAAATAACTTGTTTAATTGCTCGATAAACCTGAACAAAGAATCATATATATAAACAATAATAATCGATTAACTATAATTGTTTCATTGACACATTATCAGATCGACAGTAGTGATCGCAAGACAATCGATTCTTCCGGTCGCATTTAATTTCTCTACAACGGCGGATGTCAAGATCGTTTTTTCGAATGACCATGTATCAATTTTCATTTGAATAAAAATCAAGCATATTCAATGACAATATGTGTAGTTAAGACTGAGGATTAGGTTGACTCTGAATATCTTGCTCAGTTCATTGGTTTTAACGATGATTTTCAATTGAGCCAGTTGTTAAATATCGATTCGCCGATGTATTTTGCTGTAGCCATCGAATATCCATAGTTAATCGATGAATACACGTCCATTTTCTATTATTCTTATATGATTCGACAGCAATTCCTACCCACATGTGCTGAAAACCTTCAAATGATTATTCAAGAATCGATATCGAAAGGGACTGCTACTCATATTATATCACAGCTAATCGATATTGACATCGATGTTCTTCTCATACTAAGATTGATGTCTAAATATCAGAAAGTAATCGGCAATACAATCAATTAAATAAGAGAATGTTGCATTAATAAGACAATATTATATGATGAAATTTTGTTTAGTTAAGTTCTTTCTACACATACTTATTCAAATATTCGTAATTTAAATTATACGAATAAACTACTAGATGTTTACACTGATATATGTTAAATTAAAAATAATCTTAATTTTTATCGACCGTCGACTTATATTATTAAATATTTTGAAGTATTTCATAATGATAACGATCAAAATTTCTCCTACATTTATTTCGCTTGAACCGAAAATTGCACGAAATATAGATAAATATATTCCTCGATTGTTGTAGCTGAAAAAAACTCGGAAGACAACTATTGATTATAAGACATGATTATTAAATATATATATTAAAGAACAATTATAAGAATTGGAAGATCAATTATCAAAATTAATTTCTCGATATGACAATGAAAATAAAATATAAAAAAGAAACAAATTATTCTATATGCATGTCACAATCAGGATTCATGAAATATGATCGAACATAAAATATTTAACAAAAACATCGAAACAACATAAAAAAGAAAGTATTGATGATTCTATATTTAGTTTGAAATAAAAATAAGATTTTATCATTGATTTACAACAACGAAATAATTATTATCATAATGCAGCCAAATACGGTATCGAAACAAAGTGACTATGATTATATTATTGAAGGCAAATTAATCAGAAATACTGATCAATAACGTATTATTTATTCAAACAATTTATTAAATAACAACAATTCGACAGAATTGGATGAACTATTTTCAGCGAAACTAAAAAACAAAACTTATTTAAATATATCATACTTTATGTCAATTTTATTTGTTATAGGTTCATGTTAAATAAAATGAAAAGTTTTTCTTAAATAAACGTCACTAAACATACCAATGAAATAATACCGTTATTATGAAATAAGAGTGAAATATTTTATCAATATTCAATAAGATCTATCAACAACAAAACTATTTATATTATTATTCTAGATAAATCAGCAGTACGAAAGTTAATATTAATTATTAATAATTATATATAGAAATAATCTTAAATTAAAAATTTTTAAAGATATATTATATTAAATAGATCTTATTTCTATGTACTTATCTCATTATCAGATTTAATTATAAATTACTTTCAATAATATTTTTTTCGAGATTGATAATTATGAAAGTAATCATTATCAACATCAATCAATAAGACCTTATTGAAAATTATTTTATTTTTCCATTGGTTATAATTAAAAGTTATGTTTTATCAATACATACCGATATAGTTAAATCTTTTTTCAAAGTTAATATCAGTTATTAATCCAACCGACACTATCATCTATCATATTTATTTAACATATTTTTATATTATTTTGATCATTATTGAGACATGTGTGACAAGTAAATCGATCAAGGGGGAAACAGCTGATTATTTGATTAGATATGATTTTAAGTGATTAGCAGTGATTAGTCTTGATTAGTAGTGATTAGCCTTGATTAGTCTTGATTAGAAG